GGAACAGAGCTGTGGAAGGGTCTGGAACACCAGGGGTGGCTGAGGGAGCTGGGAAAGGGGCTCAGCCTGGAGAAAAGGAGGCTCAGGGGGGACCTTCTGGCTCTGCACAACTCCTGACAGGAGGGGGTAGCCTGGGGAGGTTGGGTCCTGCTCCCAGGGAACAGGGACAGGACAAGAGGAAATGGCATCAAGTTGTGCCAGGGGAGTTTCAGATTGGACACCAGGAGGAATTTCTTCATGGAAATGGTTGTTAAACATTGGAATGGTCAGCCCAGGGCAGTGGTGTGGTCACTGTCCCTGGAGACGTTCAAGAAATAACTGGACCCTGCACTCAGCAGTGATGGGTCAAAGGGTGGATTCTATGATCTTAGAGGTCTTGTCCAACCCCAGTGATCCTGTGATTCTGTGAAAGCCCCAGCTCAGCTCTGTGGGGATAAGGATCTGCTGGAGACAGGACACATCTGAGACTCCCTCCCCAGCACATCCAGGGTTTGCCCTCGCTGGGGGCAGTGCTGGGGGGACACACTGGACACATCCACATCATGTGGGGGATTTCCTTCTTGTGGAAGCAGCAGCATGGAGAGCCAGATGGGCTCTGTAGCTTGTCCTGGTCCTGCCTCATCTTGGTCATGCTGTGGGACCTGGGAATGCCCCAACTCCCTGCCAGCAATGCACCTGCCAACACAGCAGACCCAGCTAAGAGGGGTGGGAACTGAGCCTCAGAGATCTTTGCTGGTGGAACTCCACGTGCTGCCCTCCGTGCGTTCAGGATTTGGTTGTGTCTCTCCAAAGCTGTACCTGCAGTTGGGGTGAGCACCAAGGTCCCTGCAACCCACCTGCCTGTGGCTGTGGCTTTGCAACACTGCTGGAGAGACTCCATTTTTGGGGTGACCTGAGCTGCCAGAGACAAGGGTGTGGCTCATGCTCAGGCTTCTGCCATGACTGCACTGCTCTAGGTGCCCAGTCCAGCTTCCTTAACCCTGGGTTTTTCTGTGTAAATTGTGGTCACCACTGGCCCTCCTGTGGCACCTGAGGTGTTGCTCACACCAGGACACAGTTCCTGAGGCTGGAGGGCTGTGGGAGCTGCTGGCTACTCACAGCTCACAGTGGCAGTAGGGTGACAAACACCTCTAAGGCTCCACAGCACCTGGGCTGAGGTATCACCCTGACAGAGGGGTTTGCAGTTACAGATCCTCCCATTACTGCATCCCAGTGTGGTATCTGAGCAAAGCAATTCCCAAAGGCTGAACATCCTTGAGAGCTGCGCCAGCCCCTGACATACGAGCCAAGGAAATGCTGCAGCCAGGAGCAAACCCACTGCCCTCCAAGTGCCTCCTGGAGAGGCCTCACTGGCTCCGTGTTCCTTGCACTGGCAGTCAGAAGGTGCTCCCTGGGGACAGCGATGCTGCAAACGAGGCAGCCCACCAGGGCAACAGAAAATAATGTAATTTGTAATAATGGGTGAATCGGAGAGTTTAAGCCAAAGTCTTAGAAACAAAGAATTATGGAATCATTAAATTAGAAAAGTCCTCTAAGATCAGAGTTCAATCACTAACCTTACACTGCCACGTTGACCCTAAACCATATCCTCAAGAGCCATATCCAAAAGTTGTTGAACACTACTAGGGCTAGGGACTCCACCACTGCCCTGGGCAGCCTGTTCCAAACTGACTGATCCAGAAAGAGCTCTTCCTCCAGATCCATCATTCCTCTTACTCTAATATCTGAACATCAGTCTCACAAGATTGAACAACAAAAGAAAACAAAAGAAGCAAAAAGTTTGACATTTCCAGGAAGACACAAAGCAAGACAAAAGGAGGAAGTCAGGGATGGCAGCTTTTGAGAGCTGTGGGTGGGACAGAACACCTTTAGTGTCACCATCTGAGGCAGTACCTTAGATTAGAGCATTCCAAGAGCAGCGTCTCAGGTGCAGGTGCTGTGGAGCAACACCCTGGAAATTTCCCACTGCACCTTTTTAACTACAGGGGGACTGGGAGTCAGTCATTCTCCTCAGCATTACACTGGGCCACTTCCCTGGAGTATCTGAGTTTGCCTGTGCCTGTCTCAAAGGACTTTGCCACTTTTCAGACACATTCACAGCACCAGCTCCAGCTGGAAATAAGTCCAGCAATTTTGCCTTCAAAAATAGATTTGCTTTATCTTTGGTTTCACATTTTACAACCCAGGTATTACAAAGAGGAAACCTTTCTTAGGAAGCCCAGAACCTGCACAGACCCCAAACAGGTCTGTAGACAAAAGCTGAAGTTATCCCAAGCTGGAGGCTGGTGGCGGATTTGTGGAACCTTTAATGCTGTCTGGAAAAAGCAGAATGGAGGAGGCTGCTCAGTGTGGTTGGGGAGTCTGGTGTCTGTTGAGCTTCTTAAGCAGATTTAGGCTTGAGGTTATGTGTTCCAAAGTGCCAGTGGCACCTGGGACTGCTTGCCTTTGAGTGCAGTCATCTCCCTGTGCGCTCATCTCCCTGCTCCATCCAGCTCCAGTGGCAGGAGATAGGGATCCAGGGGCCTGATTCATCCTGACCCGACAGATCTCCCAGGCAGAGGAGGTGAATCACTGCCCCTACCTCTGCCTTTGCTGGCCAGGGGAGGAGTCAGACAACTTGTCAGGACTAAATGGCTGATTCTCAGATAGACTCAGGTAAGACAAAGTTTACTGTAAATCCTTCACAGGTCCCAGTCCTTTTTGCTAAAGTAACCCAGATCCTGAAGACCTTTATCAAAAATATTTAGAATTAAAGACTTGCATGATGCTTAAATTTGGAGAAAGACCTTCCCTCAGTAAGTGCAGAGCGGTGTCTCAGAGAACAGACAGAGGTGCCTAAATCCCCAGTGAGCCTGAAGGACTGAACTGTTGTGTCCATGGGACTCTGGTGTCTAATGGAGGTCCTGAACTTCATCACGTTCATCACGTTCATCACCACCTTCCAGCTGTTCCCCAGAACACCAACACTGCTGACCGAAAGCCCCCGCAGCCAGGGGCATTCCCACCATTCCCACCTACCCAGCATTTGTCCAGCTGCCACAATGATTGGGAACAAGAGCAGGAGCTAACATGAGGAAACAATAACCCTCACACCAGCGGCAGGAGCTGCAGCAGCACCTTACCAGCATGAGCAGAGCCAGGCCTTGACTTCCTCCCTCTATAACAAAAAAACCCATCTACAAACCCTTAGAATGGTTGAAACAGAGCAATTTTGTTTGGACAAAGCACAGCAAACTCCATTCAGGAATCACGATAAGCAAACAGCAACATATCATCAAAACCAAACATCCCAATTGTTTGAGTTGTGAAGCTGGGATACTCCACCTCTGCCTCAGAACTGCCTCAGCTGTGCTTTTCTAGTGGCCACAGAAACCCTGCCTGGTTACCATGGCTGGACCCTCTGCAGGGCTCCACCACTGACTTAGGGATAGAGACAGGACACCTGGGTGGACAGACCTTGGACTTGACCCATTACAGAATCCCAGAATCCCAGAATGGTTTGGGTTGGAAGGGTCCTCAAAGCCCATCTCATTCCACCCTGCCACAGGCAGGGACACCTTCCACTAGCCCAGGGTGCTCCAAGCCCCGTCCAGCCTGGCCTTGGACACTTCCAGAGATCCAGGGGCAGCCACAGCTGCTCTGGGCAACCTGGGCCAGGGCCTCACCACCCTCAGAAGAAAGAATTTCTTCTATCCTTCTCAGGGAAGAAAATTCCATCTAACTCTGCCCTCTGTCAGTGGAAAGCCATTCCCCCTTGTCCTGTCCCTCCACGCCCTTGAAATAATCTCTCTTCATCTTTCCTGTAGCTCCTTCAGATACTTCAAGGCCACAGTACAGTCACCCCAAAGCTTCTCTTCTCCAAGCTGAACAATCCCAACCCTCCCAGTGTTTCCTACCAGCAGAATTCTCCATCTCCCCAATCAACTTGGTGCCTCCTCTGAACACACTTTTCTCATCTGGGGACAGGAGCCCCCCTGGTTGGGATTTAACCAGCACAGCAAAGGACACTAAAATGGGCCAACAGACAGGCTGGAAATAAACATTTCAAAGACACTCCAGTGCTCCCAGTTTTCCTACTGAGCACCCAGTGATGCAAACTCAGCAAGTGACAACACTTCCTTGAAGCCATCATACTACAACAAGGCCATTAGGAAAGACCCAGGTAAATCCTTCTGAAGCTGAGGAATGTTGGTGCTCTGAACAAGCAGAGGATCTGGCAACCACCAGGAAAAGCTGCAGTCCTGTCTGTGTGCTTGGAGCCACCAAAAACCTTTCCTGGTTCAAGCCTTTGATGGCTGACATGGAGCTGCTTTACAGTCCCAGGGTTGTTGAAAGGAGTCCTTTGCTTTTCTCATATTCAAATCCCAGACCTGTGAATTGCTCCTTTCTACTTTAGAGCTGATGAAAAGCAGGGAACAGCAGAACACAGAAATGGAGGGGCAACATGAGCACAAGTTGTCCCAGTGGACTGTGGAGTAGTTTGGAGTGATTCCCTGTACACCAGGGCTCTGTCACCAAGGACCAGGAGCTCTGTGGGATGTCCAGCCTCACACTGCATAAAGACAGGTACCATCTCACCTGTGCTTTTTCTGGAAATATGCAATATTTTTTTTGGAAATCAGTGTGAAAGAACTGGACCCACTATTTTGCAAGCACAGAGAATATCTGAAGGGTCTGCAGTTGCACTAAGGTTGGGAACAGTAGCACAGTTCTAATGCAAATCCCCTGAACCACCAGCCATATTCATGTCATTCACAGCCATGTTTTGGTGCACAGGAACAAAGATGGGAAATCCTGGATGTGCTCCAGACTTGAACTGAGCTGTGACAGTCTGAGCTCAACCCTGATCCCTCAGGCAGCTTCCAAACTCTTGTGCCATTGGATATCAACCTAAAAATCCAAACTAAATCTTGTCCACTCTAAAATCCCCACTAAAACAGCTGTGAGACCCTCGATCCTCCTCAGACCATGCCACAATCAGAGATCAAGGAGTGTCTTACCGGGTATCCCCAGTTGCTGTTCCCTGTCTGGGTTTTGGTGTAGTAGCTGCCCCGGGATGTCCCGTAGCCATAACCATCAGCTAAACCATCGTACATGGAACCTGCAAATGGAAAAGGCATGGTCAGCATGAGAAAGCATTCCTAGGAGACAGCATTCCCAGGAGAAAGCATTCCCAGCAGGTCCCTTTCAGAGCACAAAGCTTTTTTTAAACAGCAAGTTTAGTTATGGAAAAGTGACAATTATAAATCTCAACAGGAACATAGGGAATACAGGCAGCAAGGGGAGCACTTGTCACTGCTGGGAACTCTAGCCCTCACACCACAGACTCCCTAGACCTCCCGAAGGTTTGCAGCACAAAAAACCAAGTGCCATAAAACCCAAAGCAGAGGAGCAGAAAGGGTCAGAGATGGGGACAGTGTCTGACATCATGGAATCCCAGAATCCCAGAATGGTTTGGGTTGGACTTAAATCTCATCCAGTTCCACCCTGCCGCGGCAGCGACACCTTCCACTATCCCAGGCTGCTGCAAGCTCCATCCAACCTGGCCTTGGACACTTCCAGAGATGGGACAGCCACAGCTTCTCTGGGCACCCTCGGCCAGGGCCTCACCACCCTCACAGGGAGGAATTATTTTCCAATATCCCATCTAGCTCTGCCCTCTGATAGTGGGAAGCCATTCCCCCTTGTCCTGTCCCTCCAGGCCCTTGTAAATAATCTCTCTCCATGTCTTCTGTCAGTTCCTTCAGGTACTGGAAGGCCACAATTAGGTCACCCCAAAGCTTCTCTTCTCTAGGGCTGAACGATCCCAGTTCTCTCAGCCTTTCCTCACAGGCAAGGAGTTCCTTTCCTCTGATCAGCTTGGTGGCCTCCTAGTTGTAATATGAGAGGAACCTGATGATATTTTATGCAACATGTGCCGGAACGTCTGGCCATAGAAGACTTGTAGTAAATACAATTTCTCTCCCTGAAGGCAAAACCCACCCCTGACCATCTCACCAGTCCACTCCATGTCTGAATCCTACCAATCCCATCAGCATGAGCAGCCTGAGCAAGGCTTGCTAAAATCAATCAATGGTCACTAACAAACACCATGGATAAAGGATGATCCAGTCTATTTCACACCTGGTGATCTAAAGCAGTCAAATACTACAAAACCTTACTGCACTCTTTGAATTCCAGTCTTGTCTCTAAAAGATCACTTTGTGTGTCTATACTTTCTTTTCCTGAAAATGTATAGAGCTCCATCATAATTTTTGGTATGCTAGAGGAATAAATGAGACTGGATCTCAGATATGTTTTTTAAAGATCCAAATATCTCAGATCAGGAGGAACCCATCAGCCTTTTTACCTATTTCTCAGTGCTTTAACCAGAGTTTGGATTTACCTACCCCAGTCCTTCCAAGAGCTCTCCCAGCAGTGTCTGGCACTGCAACCTTTGGATCCCTCCTAAAAGTATTTTACTCAATGCCACGTTCATCACTACAACAAAAATGAAGTGAATCATTCTCTTTCCACAATGGAATTCCCTTAACCCCCTCTGAATGGTCCAAAAGAGTTTAGTTTCATTTTCAGAAGTGCTCAATAATTGTGGCATCCCAGGTCCCGTTATGAGGAAGTGTAAACCCTAAACTCCAATTAACTTCCAGGGGAAGCTCTGAATGTCTAACAAAGTACAAAATCAGGACTTACCTGTCCTAACTTATGCACCTAAACTGGTGGGTAATGTCAGAAATATCCTAATCTCTGTGATTGTTTGATAAGACTCATCTCTGAGATAAACTGGATAAGCTCGACCACAAAGGCCCTGGAGCCACTCAGGTCTCCTCCAGCCACTGATCCTTGGAATAAACCTTATTTATTGCCCTGCCTGAGGCACCCAGAACCTGTTATGGTGATTTGGTTTGTGGCTAAAAATTCTTGCATTTTCTCAGGAAGATGATTCCTGTGGATGTGGTGTAAATAATGGGATTTGCTTTCTATTGTCAGCAGGACTGCACCTGGAAAACATCCCTGGATGGAGAACAGGCAACAGCCAGGTCGGCTCCCAGCCCTGCCCCTGTGCAGAAAACCATGGGAGCTCCTTTTCCATAGTCTGGAGACTCGGTGGGCACTGCTCCTCACCCAGATCTCCCCAGCCCCAAGTGCCTCATGCACATAAAGCTGCACAGCACTTGCTGATAAGACAAAGAAGTGGTCATGGGAATGCAATGTGAGATTCAGTCATGTCCTTCACCTTGTGCTCCCTCTCCACCCTGGGATTTCCTTTCAACTCCACATCAGGACATCAGTGCTGGGCCTCAGCAGCAGCAAGGCAGTGCTGGAAGTGGTGAGTTTGGGCCAGGTGATTCCCCATGACACAGAGTTATTTGATAATCATAATTCTGAGCATAAAGGTAAAGCCATTCCATGATAATTTCCTTGGAATTCCTTCTTAAAATCTGCCTCTTGTTCTCTGTAAATATTCTGTAACTGCAGGTGTGAGCACATGGAACATTTTCCTGAGTGAGCAGCTGTAAAAAGGGGTTCTGTGCCTGACTTACAGGTCCCTCTGACCAGTCCTGCCTGGGGACCACACTTTTCCTTTCAGGATCTGTTCCTGTCATGCATTCCAGACTTTGGGGTTAGAGCAAGGAGATACCCAAAATAAGTCAGTTTAGGCACATCTGTATCCGTCTTCAATAAATTCACTGCTATGTGGCCAAATTCAGGGGATCAAGCAGTTGGTTCAAGTTTATGTTCTCCATCAGGGAAGGGTTGCCTTCACCTCCCAGAACTTGTACATAAGAGCTTATAAACACAGAATTACACAGAATCTCTAACATTCAAGGCATTTTGGAGTCACCCTGCTGGTTGGAGATGTTTCTCCTGCCACCACTCAACTGGGATTTATTTCTTGGAGAGCTCAGTCTTGAGGCCAGGAAGAACCTGGGGATTTTCTGGTAGAGGTGGCTGAAGAAAACCTGATCTTTGTGCAGGTTTGGACACTTCTCTGCTTGGCTCATCTTGACAGCCAGCTTGACAGCCAGTATCCCCAGCCCTCAGGGACACGAAGGAGATCCCTCTTTTCAAACACCTCAAGAGTAAAGACCACACAACCTGGTCACAGGTCCTTGGAATTTGGGATAAACCCAGGCAATCACAAAAGACCATTTGTAGGTGGAAATGCTCTTAGTAGGAGATGCCCCCCTTGTGTTTTTTCTGGCTATGTCCACAGGTCTGTGTCCCAGTTGCTGTTACCCAAGCAGCTGTTTAGGGCCCATCTGCACTTGGGCAAACACACAGAATCAGTAACACAGAACCAAGGAATCACAGAATCACTGAGGTTGGAAAAGTCCTCTAAGATCAGAGTCCAACCATTCCCCCAGCACTGCCACATTCATCACTAACCATGTCCCAAGTGCCACATCTTGGTGACCCCACCACTGCCCTGGGCAGCTGTGCCAGTGCCTGACCACCCTTTCCATGAAGAAATTTTCCCAATATCCAACCTGAACCTCCCCTGGCACAGTGTGAGGCCATTCCCTCTCCTCCCGTCCCTGTTCCCAGGGAGCAGAGCCCAACTGCCCCGCAGCTCCCCGCTCCTGTGCAGAAAAGTTGTGCAGAGCCAGAAGGTCCCCCCTGAGCCTCCTTTTCTCCAGGCTGAATCCCTTTCCCAGCTCCCTCAGCTTTTCCTCATGACAGAGGACCCTCAACAGCTGGGACAGAGCTAGAAATATGTGGCAGAACCACACAGATGAGGTGCAGCCTCTCAGTGACCATGTGGGCAGAAATCAACCCTGAAGGCTGCTGAGATTTCCCCCTCCCCAAATTAACATTCCCCCATGATATCGCCTTTAAAACTTAGACACTTTAAAATCTCTTTTATCTTCAGTGGGACAATTCATGAGGGTAAAATTCACTTACAGCAGATAAGAAGTGCAAGTCCTTGCCGTGCATCTCTGTGAGCCCCCCTACACTGCTCCCACTGCTCTCATCCCCTTCTCCATCCCTGTTATCTGTAAACTGAGGCTGCCATCGAACCCAGTGTAGCTGTTCTTGATGAGTTATTTCCCTTCCTCAAAGGCAACTCTCCTCTCTCACAGCTGGCACTGCTGTCAGGAGGAGAGCTGTGTTCCAAGTGCCATTTTCCCAAAGCCAGCCGGACACACAGAGTCAGCGTGGAGATTGTGGAAAAGGATGTCTGTTAATAAATATTAATCTGTGGCAGGGAAAGGCAAGACAAGAACCAGTCACTGGCAGTGCAGGCTAGGCAAGTTAAATCATAAACTATGCACGGCTTTAAACAATAAGGATGATTAAACATAGGAAAAACACAGGGAGAGCAGAGGCCTGTGGGAGGCACAAAGCAAAGCCTGGGTTCCCTTCTAGGAGAGAAGTGTCAGTGGAATCCCAGACATGGAGATTCCTGCAGGAATGACAAAACTCCAGTTCTGCCTTCTGGCCTATGAGCTAATGGGGATTTTTTTGTATTCCAATAATCTAAGGTTTGTGGAAGAGTGGAACCTTTCACTGAATTGTCTCACACTGGGGGAAGTTAGGGAAGTCTTCAAAAGACATTTTATCCCCCAAATCTCATCTTTGAACCCCACCAAAGCCAGATGGGGTCCCATCAGACCTTGGTGGAATTACTCTCCTCTTAGCCACAGCCAGCACAGAAACTTCTAAAAGTCAGCTCAACCATAGGACAGTTGAATCTGACACTCCTTGGATGTGTCTCTTCAGTGACAAATCACTGGCAGAACTTTCCTTTATCCAGAGGACTTTGTAGAGTAGAGCTGATGGCTACAAGGAGCTGGTTCAGCTTGGCCTGGCCTTTGCCATGCTACTGAAATTAATTTTCCCTGGAAATGTGCATTACTCACAAATTCAGGGGAAGGCATCTAGTTTGGTATTGCCATGGGGGGAAGGACAGATAAGCCCCAGAGCAGAGCCCACAGACCCAACCCCCAAGGAGGACAGACCCCCACAGACCCCACATATCCCAGACTCCAAAGTCACCCTTGGGAACAGATGTAGCTGTTGTGTGGAGCCAATCCCCACTGGGTTCAGGGGTATTCTGCTGGCAGCAGTTTTCTGCTCACTGTCCCACCCCAGTGCACACCAGTTCGGCCACATTGGCCACCTTGCCGTGGGGGACACCAGGTCTCCAAAGTGGCCACCACACCTTGACCTGCTGGACTCCAAATCACCAACTCATTTATGGTTCCATCAATCACTGGGATAGTGAGGGAGTGTGTGCTCCCCACCAAAGGAACTCCAGTGGCGGGATACAACACCCCCACCCTGCTGTGTGCGCGAGGGTTCCATGTCCATGTTCCCCATCCTACACGCACTGGGACATGGTTCCTGTGGGTGGGGGAAGCTCTGGGCCCTGCTTCAGCTCCAGCCCAAACCACAGCTCCAAACACAGCAACAAACCTGGACCTGGCCCAACAGCTGCCCAGCCCCACTCCAGGACTGTCTGGGAGCAGCGGGAACAAAGCGCTCAGGCACTTGTCAGGGGGCTTTGGGAATTCCCCAGCTTGTGCTGCCTCTAAGGAGCATCTCTGAGAAATCCCGGGGATGAAGGGAGCTGAAGTTGGATGAGACTTTGGACAGGCAGAATCCATGCTTAACAGATCCACAGATCTCTTTGTATGAAAAACTAATTTTTCTCATCAGGGCTGCCCAGCTGATCTTTGGGCAAGAGCAGTAAAACCCAACACCTGAAAGCTGAGCCTGAACCCACTCCAACACCAACCAGGAGACAGCCCTGGGAACAAACAGCAACTTCTCACCCTTCTGGGATTCCATCCAGGAGTGCACTGGGATGAATCAGCCCCCAGGATCTTTGCTGGCCAACCACCCCTGGTGGGAAGGAGGGGAGGGGGGCCCTGGGCCCTGTACTTGGAGGCAGCTCATGGGAGTGGGATGTGACTCAGCTTCCCTGGGACACAGAAACCAAAGCTGCACATCTCCACGCAATTCCCATTCCCAGACATTCCCCAAAGTGTCTGGAGGAGGGGTTTAGCTTGTTGAGCAGAAACTGGCAATTTGGGAATGTGCTATTTTTTTTTTTCCTTTCCCAGAGGTTTCACCTGGGCTCCTCTCCAAGCTGGATAATCCCCCTCTGCCTCCCTTTCTTCCTGCCTGTGGATCCCTCTGCCTGCTTCCCTCTCCATCCAGAGCCCCTCAGCTCATCCTGCTGTGTATTTTATTTTGTTAGGTCTGTCACTGTAACACCTTAAGCAATAAACCCTCCGGAGGTGGGAGGAGATTCCCATCCTCCACTTTGGTGGCAGAGGAAAGCTCTCCTTGCCCCGGCCCCCCCTCACCTGTTGGAGTCTGTGTTGACAAAAAGAGAGGAAGAAGGAATTTGTTCCTGGCAGAGCCCACCCGCCCTTGTTCTGGAGATGCTCCATTCCCTCTCTTTCAGCAGCTGAATTCCCAGAGCAGGGACGGCTCCCGAGGAAGCACCACCTCCACACGTCCCCCAGCAGCCTACAGCCACCCAGCTTCTCTTGCTAATCCAGCCCTAAACATGTCTCTGGACCACGGCAGCTCACCAGCACAGGATTCAGCCTCACAATGCAGCTTGGAAGAGCTGCTGGACAAGGCACAGCTCCCAAAGGAGGTATCGGAACTTGGCGCACCTCACCCAGGACCCCCCTCCAGGCTGCTCACTCCAGACTCAGCTGAATGCTCAGTCCCAGCTCCAGCACCCCAATGGCCCCCAAAGCCTCAGGGTTTCCTCTCCCTCGTGGACTCAGCCAGGCCAGAGCTCTGTGGCTGCTGGAAAAAGCACCTCCAAGAGCCAGGAGGTTTTGCACAGAGGTTGTGACAAACCCTCTCAGTTTTCAGCTTCCAGCTGGGGAATGCTGGGCTTTACCTCCAGACCAGCTTTCTCCAGACACGAGGATAGCAGAGAGAACCATTTGCCAAGCCTTGATCCAAAGAGGAGGGGGTTCCAGTGGGACACCTGGCTGCAGGACTCAGCTGATTGTTTCTGTGGCACACAGTGCACAGAGGTGGAGCAGCCGCTTGGACCCCAACACAGGAAAAGTGGAGGGGGCAGTGAAACACCGCCACCAGCCAACACCAGGGACACTTCTCCCAACTCATCTCCTTCCCACCACTCCCATCAGGGTCCCAGAGACTCCACTCTTCTCAGCCTGCAAATGGGAAATTTGTTGGGAGTTCCAGAGGTGAATCCTGAGCCGAGGTTTGTGTGCCGTGTGTGGGCACAGCCTCCTGCTCTGCCCCTGCCCCGTGCTCAAGTGCAGCAAAGCCCCAGCCCCAGCCCACAGCAGGGTGGAGGAGGAGCACTGTCAGCTTTGCCATCCATAGGAGGGGGTGGTGGGGAATTTGCAAAACCAGATAGCTACTCCAGCTTTAGAGCCAGGGAAAAGTTGGTTATAGCACAGACTGAAATGTCCAAGTGCCTCAGGGATGTGGAGCAGAGCAGCACTCCCAGGGATCAGCTCCAGCCAGGAAGGAGTTGATGCTTCCAGATCTGTGTCTTGTCCTAAACCCTTCCAGGAGATCTTGGCACCACCTGCCTGAGGTGAGCCAGGAGAGGAGCAAAGCAATCTGTCCCCCCTCCACAAACCCCCCCAAAGCACCCCGAGCACAGCCCTGCCCCGGAGCGCTCCCTCGCTGCGGGACCTCACCTCGGTTTGAGTGGCCCACGCTTGACGACACCGACGACTTTTGCTTCTGCCTCTTGACCGTCATCATCACCTGCTCCTGGACGCGCTGCTTGCCCGTGCCCTTGGTTTTCAGCTTGTGGTCCGAGGGCAGGGCCAGCGTGGAGCTGGCCTGGTCCTGGAAGCACTCGTAGGCCAGCGCGGTTTTCAGCGGGGAGTGGAGCATGGCTGCAGGCCGCGGGCACGGGGCTGCGCTTGGCTCGCACGGACAACACGGGGCCACCGAACACGGTCTGTGCTGGGCTTAGTCCCCCGAACCCCTCCTTGCCATACGTCCCCTGGCCCAGGGTGTCTCAGGGCTGCTGCTCGCAGCTCGGCTCCCCGGCGTGTGAGCAGTCACACCCTCTGCCAGACTGGATATACAGCCCTGCCCGCACACACCCACGCCTCCCCGCCAGCCCCGGCACCCCGAGCTGCCCGCACACACCCACGCCCCCCCGCCAGCCCCGGCACCCCGAGCCGCTGCGGGGCCTGCCCGGCCCCGAGCCTGCCCCCGGCCCCTGCCCAGCCCCGCGGGCCGGGCGGGGGGCTCGAGGGCTGGGCACGGACATGGCCACTGCGAGGGGTCGGGTGAGGCTCTGCGGGTCTGGGTAGGAAACGGTGCTGCCCGGGGGCCGGAGCATCTCCCACACGGCTCCTCTTGGGTTCCAGCGTTCCCTCAGTCCAAACTGCACCAACCCCAGGTGTCAGTGCCAAGAGATGGCCCAGGCTGCAGCAGCAACGCTGCCCACAGCGCCTGTTCAGATCCCAGCTCTGCAAGCACAGGTTGCAAATCCACCCCTGCAAGCCCAGGAATCCAGGATTCCTGCAGAGCTCCGGCTCCAGGGGTCGGGGAGGGTCCTGATGAGGGGCCTGCAGAGTCAGGGACATCCCCCCACAGGGTGTCCCACTTGTCTGAGGAACAGGCCTTTGGAGAAATCAGGGCACAGTTGAGGCAATCTTTGCACACAGCTTGGGGTACCAGGGAGGAAAAGAGGAAATTTAGCAAGAAGAGGAGATAAAATGGCTGTGCAAGAAATGACACGCCAGGCTACGAATGGGAGCAGGGAGTTCTCCCTCTGCCAAGCCACACTGCAGCAACTCGTTTGCAGAGAACCGAGCACCTCGCTGCTGGTGTGACCAGTTTCAGGTCACAGCAAGTGCTGACAAAGCTCCTGCCAAGCCACAGGAGGCTGATACAGGAGAGGAGGAACAGTCCCCATGAGCAGGGATGCCCAGGGTGGAGGCTACCTGGGTTCTACAGGACCAGGACCTGCATGCTTGTGCCAACACTCAGGGGAGCAGAGCCCTTTGTGCTGCCAGATGGATCACCTGTGGCAGAAAAGATGTGTGGAGTTTCTCTCCAGTAAGAATCAGCCCAGGGTCTGACCTGGTGCTTTCACTGCCATCCATCAGGTTTTGTGTTTCCCTGGTGGTTTGTGTCCGCCTTTCATGTTTTGTAGGAGCAAGAGCAACATCAGAAAGCACAGAGTGGGCTCCTGGGGAAGATGAGCTTTGTGCATTGTCCTTTTCCATGCTCCAGGATGCTCCTCCCGTGAAACCCAGGAGTAGAAAGCCAGGTTTTATCAATATGGCACAGGAGCAGAGCACCTGGAGGGTATTTATTTGTCTTGGGTCCCCTCTCCTCCCCTTTCTTGACCCCTCACCAAGGGATGCAGAGGCTTTACTCTGCTCCATCATCCAACCAGCAGCACTTTTAGACCATGGCCATGCAAGGCCAGCCTGGAGGGGAGTGGGTGATGCCCAGTGGGATGAGTGGATGGAGTTGATGGGGTGAGTGGGTGCCCTCCTTTGCTGCTGCTCCTGAGCATTTCCCAGGTGGGGATCAGGCCGTGCTGTTCCGGCACAGGCAGTGCCCGGCTGTTGTTTTCCCCTGCCCCACTTGTTTCTCCTGAAAGCTCGATATCGATGCCAAGCGATGTTTTCGCAAATCAATGACAGGCTGTCAGCGTCAGGTGGCTCCTGCACAACAAAGTGCCAGCTCTCGCAAACCTGTAATGTCACTCGGCCCGGGGCGAGGAACAGCCCTGTCCCCGTCCCCGCGGGAGAGCCGCGTGTTTATCGCATCCCGTCACCCGCTCCGGCATCTCCCGGTTTCATAACTCGCCCAAATTGCTGAGCTGGGCTGCGGAGCTGCGGACAGGGAGCTTAGGGAGGCTTTCAGGAAACAATGGTTTCTTGGGGCGAGTTCGCACGCTTTAGCCCAAGGGAGGGAATCTCCCGGGATTCTGCAACAGATTCCAAACCCGTATCTGGAAGAGCGAAAGATGCTTAAACGAAGGTTTTTATTGCAGTTCTGTGCAAAGTGCGTTGTGGTGCCGCGCTGGGGGCGTCCCTGAGCGGAGCACGGGAGCATCCCCCGGCCAGCCCAGCGCAGCAGCAGCGGAGCTTTCATCCGGCAGCGCCCCGAGCGAATTCCCTGTCTGCCTTTGCGTCTGGAGCTCAGGGCACAGCGGGCAGGCTGAAAGGGACGCGCAGCCGTGCCGGTGCGGGGTGCGATGGGCAGGGCTGGCAGCGCTGATGGAGCAGTGTCATTGCGGTGCTCGGGGGGCGCGGGGGTCCCGGCGCTGCCCCAGCGCGGCCCGCAGCGCATGGCGAGGCCGTGACTCACGCTCCGCACCCACTCCGGGACCCGCCCTGTGCATCTGGGCTCTTCAAAGCATTTTTGTGAGAGTTCCTGGGATTCCTGCCAGCTGCCTGATCGCAATCAAAGCGCTCGCTGGTGCTCCCAGAGAGGCGCAGGTTGCCTGTTCAAACTTGTCGGGCGCTCCTGAGCTGCAAGTGTCTGAGGCGCGCTCGAATTCTGCTGGGGGGAATAATTGTCCCCAGCCCGGGTGTCAGAAAGTCCAGCTGTTGGGGGTTACTTCAGCACCGGGGGGTTGATCCTTCCTTCGGACAGGTGGTCGCCAGGAGGGGCAGATGCTGGGAATTCTTGTATTTCCCAGGATAATGCCGTTTTCTGAGCAGTGACTCATCCTCGCCCCAGCACAGCTGAGATTTTCCAGAGCCTGGCAAGGTTCTGCAGGCGGGAACCTGCTCTTCAGACTTGCACACCTTGGTTTCACTCTGACTGCCTTGGAAGTGTTTCTTTTTTGGGAGCAGAAAGCACCATAGGAAGGGGGCAGATGGAGAGCTTAGACCCAACAGTAACAGGATACAGCTGGAAGGGAGCACGCAGCTGCCACGGTGAGGAAAGCCAGGCAGAAGCCTGCTAAGACTTGTGGCAAGGCTGTTCTTGAGCAAAACCTCCCCTCCACTCCTTGCACACATGTGGCACTGAAAGGATTTTGGGGTGGTGCTCTGGGAGGACAAGAAAGCAACAGAGCCCGGCAGTGCCTTGGCAAAGCAGGGACACTTCTCCACCCCCGGAGATCTCCCAGTGTGCATGGAAGCTTGGAAGGAAAGGAAATCCCTGATTTCTCCCCAAAACAAAAGGATGCATCAGTAGAGCAGCTGCATCCGGCCAGCTGAAAGCCTGGGCTGCATAAGGGAGATAAAGGACCCAAAACATCACTGAGGTGTTCCCTGACAGAAACACAGTGGAATGCATGAGTTAGGAAGGGGCTGCCCCCTGCCCAAAGCAGGGCTGAACCAAGGCAGGACCCAGTTGCTCCAGATGTTGTCCAGTGGAGGTTTGATGGAGATTCCACAGCCTCTCAGGCCTCTCTCCCAGTATTTGACTGTCCTCACGGTGAATTTTTTTCCAGGTATCTAAAAGGAATTTCCCATGTCCCAGCTTGTTCCCGTTGCCTCTCCTCTCCCCTGCACCTCAGAAGGTGTGACTCCACCTTCACAGAGTCCCAGAATGGATTGATTGACTTGGAACTGACCTCAAAGCTCATCCTGTTCCACCTCCTGCCACAGGCAGGGACACCTTCCACTATCTCAGGTTGCTCCAGGCCCCATCCAACCTGGCCTTGGCCAGGGATGGGGCAGCAGAGCAGTCCCTAATGATTTTTATGGAATTACCTGTGTATTCCAATGTCAGCAGCTGCAGTGTCTGTAAAGGTCCTTGATGCCACAGAAGGGGTGAGCCTCCTCTGCAGCCTTGGCAGCTCCCACAGCCCAGCAGGAGTCTTGAGTTTGTAGAAATGGCAAAAAAACCACAATAAGTCCCCAAATCAGCCATGTTTTGCTGTGAGACCCCTCAATCCCCCCCTCTCAAATTGGGGTTTGCAGTCCCCTGGTGTTGTGAGTTTGGAATTTAAAATGGTTCTACTTGGCCAGTTTTGGTTGCATAATGTTCACTCCTGGTCTGTGCATGGAAAGTCTAAATCCATGGAATTGTTGGTTAATTTGCTTAAACCCCCATTTTTCCTTTCTCACCTTTGGTGCCAGAGGAAACCAAACCCAGGGCTGAGTGAGGAGGTGACTCCAGCCTGGAGAAGCAGAGGTTCCTCAAAAGTTCCTCAGAGATTCCTCAGAGGTTTCCTTGTTCCTCTGGGAAGGCCCAGAGCCCCACAGGATGCTCTGGAAAAGGACAAGTGACACTTGTGCAGCAGCTGCAACAGGGACAATTCCAACTGTCCATAAGGAAAAAGCTTTTCCTGTGAGAGCTGTGCAGCCTTGGCATGGGATCTTCTCTGAGAATTCACTGGGGCAAGGACTGGAGTCACTTGAGCTGGCCTTGCACTGAGTCCTGCTTTGAACATGACCTGGGGCTCAGGACCTCCCAGAGTCCTTCCAAACGTTCCTGGTTTCCCTGACCTGAAGGGCTCTGACAGTTCCCATATGTGGAACCTGTTGCGTCCTGCAGGAGACACAAGAGAGGGAGATGTCCCCTAACAGTGACAATTCTTCCTTGGCTTTGGCAGCCTGGAGCTGAGTGTGGCCCTGCTTTCCCTGCCCCAGGACAAGGCTGTGTGGGACATTTCTGCACAGATGACTTGATCAGTCTGCTCCATTCCAACCTGAGATGTGTGGCAGGAGGGCAGGGATGCACTCTGGAGCATCCTCCTCTTCTCCTTGGCTCTTGTGCCATGGTCAAACACCAGACCCTGCCTGAGGATCAAATGCCTTCTCTGCTTCTGGCCCCCCTTTGGATTTGCCAGCGAGTGTCACCAGCTCCCTCTGCGGTGCCTGGGGCTGCTGGGATGTGGAGCAGGAGCTCAGCCAAGCACCTGGCAGGTGGAATAAATCCCTAAAGAAAGGCTCAGGGGAGGTCACACCTGGCCTGCCCCGAGCTC